CATATATTGTGCCTGTTAGTGTTAAGATATTGTGGAGATTTATTAAGATTAATCATATATTAGCTAACCATATCATATCATGTAAATCCTTATTTTTTTATTAAAAATAAGAGTTATGTGTGCTGAAGATTGATACATAATTCTTAAATCACAACAGTTAGAAATATAATATTAAGTCATTCAAGTGTCTTTACCTAACAACTTTGGCTATGTTTGGTTCAAAGTTGGAAAAGTACTTTTGGGAATTCGAAAGCAACATCAACTTGGGGTCGGGGGGCAACATAATTAATAGCTAATTATGATTCAACTGTTACATTGACAAAAGCCACCTATGAATAGGGGAGATTGTAAGCTAATCTTAACCACTGGAGGATGACTAAAGATTTCTTAAAATAAATACACGGCTATGTCATTAAACCCCTATCATTCTTGCATGATCAAATGTTCAAGATTCACTCTTACTCTCATAATAGGCCAATGCTTTTCTGTCGAGATGCCATTACTTTGTGTCCCGTTCCCACATGCAAACATTTCTTTTTTTGGGTTTCTGATTTGTAGAATTCAACAGGGTAGTGCAGCTGATGTTGCCATGTGTGCCATGATACAAATTTCCAATAATAAGCAGTTGAAGGAGCTTGGGTGGAAGTTACTTCTACAGGTAATTTACTGCCACTATATTTTCCCTTTTTAAATTTTCTTGCTCACTTTTATTGGAGTGTGTTCAAATTACACCTGATCTCACTTGCCATATTCTACTTAAGATTGAGGTCATTTCCTAAATAATTTAAAACAATTATACAAATTAGTGACAAAATAGTTGCAAATTCTACCAAATAGTATTTCAAATCTGAATGTTTTCGCATATCTATTTCCAAACTTGCTACCTTTTTACTAAGATTCTTGGATATGACAAAGCAGGTTCATGATGAAGTCATATTGGAAGGACCAACAGAATCGGCCGAGGTTGCAAAGTCCATAGTTGTTGAGTGCATGTCCAAACCCTTCGATGGCAAGAATATTCTTAAAGTTGACCTCTCTGTTGATGCCAAGTGTGCTCAAAACTGGTATTCTGGGAAATAGGTACACTTGTACAGCACGAAAAGCCATGACTCTACTGTTTGGAGATGTTTCTTCATTCAGATAGCCTTGGCTGCGTGGTTCCTTTGGGGATTGCAATCAAAAGATGATGCTACTCTGGTGCTTCAATTTTCAAGGCAAAATTAATGCCTTAGATATTATGTTCTTGATTTCTATAGAGGTATTTTACTTCCTAGGAGCATTTCCTGTGTGGTGTTTTGGTAATACGAAAGCATAACACGTTTAACTTTGAAGGAAGAAAAAGGCCAAAACCACCGGCCTCGGCTATATACTTGTTCAATTTTGTATACCGGTTTTTCATGCCTTGCATCATGTACCGGCTTGGTTTTTTGGTTGATGCGAACTATATCGATATTGTATATAAATTATTATGAAATGAATATATCTGCATTTCTGTTGATCATGACTCTGGTTGCAAACTTATACTTCCTGTACCACATCATGCAATCATAACTGGAAGCTAGAATAACACTTAGTATGCACAAATGTTCAGTAACCAGTGACAATTTAGGTTATAAATTTTCAGTTGGAATCTCAACCAGAATTATGAATTTAAAATATTCTGTACGAATGAATTTAAGAATTGTGATCTTTTGTACGAGCAAGTGGGGTACAGGAATGGACCAAGGAGCCAATAACATTATTATATTTTGATGAAAGTTTGTCATCAGAAATAAAATCTATATTGCAAACTAAGGAATTGTCATGTTAGAACTAAGTTTGTAATTCAGCTATATTATTCTGTGAACAAGTAAACTTTCACTTACATTTCAGTTTTTTTCTCTCTCTCGTAAAGTAGGCTCTATCATTATATAATATTTATTAATTATTTGTGTTTATTAAAATGTTACGTGGCCAATTCAAATAATATCTAAAAAGAATATTTAAAAAAATGTTATTTATCTACTAAAAATAAACTTGAAAAACTAAAAATAGTGGTTTTACATTTTAGATGAATGAAAATTGAAACAAAAAATTTATAAAGACTAAAATCAAAATTTATTTATTTTATATGACCCAAACAATGATTTCAAAATTTAAAAAAAAAAATAGAGAACACAATTTTTTTTAGGCTTAATTGCAGTTTTGATCCCTCAAGTATTGCAATTGTGCAATTTTGATCCCTAAAGTTTTAATTGGGTAATTTTAGTTCTTAAAAAATTATAATTGTGCAATTTTAGTCTTTCAATTTTTAATTGAACAATTTTAGTCCCTCAAATATCATAATTGTGCAATTTTAGTCTCTCTCATTAAAAATTTAATAATTTTAATATATATACAATATTTTAAAATTATACAATTATTTATCTATTTAAGTTAACATATATTATAATTTTCATTAATATATCAAATAATATATATTTATTATTACTAAATAAATAAAATTTATATATTATTATTTTTATAATATTATTAATAAATTAATATCAATAATATTATTAATATATTTATAGATAAACTAATAATTTGATAAATATAACTTATTATATATTACTATACTTTTACAAAAATATAAGTATATTAATTAGAAATATACATATCTTATCTAATATATTTATATTTTTGTAAAAGTATATTAATATATACTAAGTTATATTTATCAAATTATTAGTTTATCTATAAATATACTAAAAATATTATTGATATTAATTTATTAGCAATATTAAAATATTAATAATATATAAATTTTATTTATTTAGTAATAATAAATATATATCATTTGTTACATTAATAAAAATTATAGTATATGTTAACTTAAATAAGCAAATAATTGTATAATTTTAAATTATTATATATATATATATTAAAATTTTAAAATTATTAAATTTTTAATAAGAAAGATTAAAATCGCACAATTATGATATTTGAGAGACTAAAATTGTTTAATTAAAAATTGAAAGACTAAAATTGTACAACTTCAATCCTTTAGAGACTAAAATTATCTAATTAAAATCTTAGGGATCAAAATTGTACAATTATAATATTTGAGGGATCAAAACTGTAATTAAGCCAATATTATTTATAAAAGTACACTCACTGACCAACAAAATTATTAAGTCAACAAAATATTTAATTTTTAATTAGTTTACAGCGTAAAAAAAATTATGCATAACCATCGAATTTATTTTTTTAACTCATTATAATAAATTAATTTAGCCAAATTTCTTGATTTAAAAAAAATTAATAATCAATACTATTTATTGAATTAAGAAAGTTGATACCGGGTAGAACAATGTCAGTTTCCACCCACTATCTATCATATGTTGTTGACCAAAGTGTTTTCTTCATACTGAATTATGAATAATTTTGGGGGGTGGAAACTAATTTTCGTAAACCTAACCTACCACAATGATGTGAATCAAATCAAAGAAGTGGATGGACACTCCATAATGAGACGCAGAGAGTGTGTCAAAAATTCTGGTTAGATATGACCGTTCTTGAAGAGCTTATGACAACACATTGCATTAAGGATACTTATTGAGATAGGAATTTTTTTTATTTAGAAAATGAGAAAAGTATGAATTAGTGGAGTGTGTAACTTGGAAGGAAGCAGGTAAGTGATAAACAGGATCATGTCGCCTTGGTCGGTTTGTAGCCACGTGATCCAACTGTGAACTCACCTTCCTTTTCTGACTTTTTGCCCTTTATCTTGGGATCTCAAACTTAGGTTTTGGATAATTTTTTCATATAATATTGAGAAAATTATATTTCTTAGAATCAATTTATATGCTACTGTTTTAAAACAAGTTGGATAAAAAAAACTACAATAACAATATGAAGCCATTAATGCATCTATCTACATTTAACTTATTGTAACAAATTATTTTAGCAGTTGTCTGTTAAATCAATAATAAAAGTCAGTGCTAGAGAGTGGCATTCCATTTTCAATTTCCAACCAGTATTTTAATTTATGTTGATGATTATGATTTGATTTCTTCATCATGAGTTGTGAATATTTGGTGGGAAAGTTAACTTTTCCACGACTATGTTTGCGAGTCAAATCAACTGCATTGGATGCCCACGCTCCAAAATAAGACACACAGATTGTGCCTCAAAGTTGGTTGGATATTAGATATTATGATTTTAATTTTCTAGAACACCATTTTCCTCAAACTCGTCGCCTCCGAACTTTCACTTTCAGTGATTTTTGAAACAAAAAGATTGCAAAAAGTTCCATATCTCTGTTGGGTCTGCCTCAAATCTGCAATTTCCATGCGTGTGGAGCCGTAAGCTTGTTCTGCGTACGATATCCAACTTTTTTCCCCCTCTATTTGATCTTGCATGTCTTCCCTTGTGGATCCAAAGTGTTGTTTCTTTCTTCTGCTGTGTAGTGTACTGCAGTAATGGGTTGTTACTTGTTAGAATTAGATTGCCACTCTTTGAAGTGAGGCAATTTGATTGAATTGGAAGTTAATGATGCCTTTTTTTTTTTTGCTTTGAAATCATTGGTTTTCTGTTTGTGTATGTATACTTGTTTAAGTTTTCAAATTTGATGATTCTTGCGTTTGATTTAGCTTGGCTTTTGGTGAAGCTGGATTCCTTTTACTTTTCTCTGGCTTCTTTTAATGTGGATAGTGTTTTGGATTTGATTCTGCTTCATCCTAACCATTGTGATTTGGTAGTGATTTTTTTGCTTTGTGGGTTACTTTTTCTTTTTTTTTCTTTTTTTTCTTTTCCTCCCCTTCTTTCCATGATAGATTATTATAGTTGAGTTGGCATTCTCATGTTCAAGTTATTATGATGTGTGTTTGTTATCCCATTGCATACAAAGAGAGAGTACCTTGCACTTGCAGTGTATGAATATCGAATACCTGTTTTGTTTTGAAATCATGATGCACAGTGATTGATGTTTCAACTTGGTGACCTGCATTTGAGAACCAATTTGAACCATCTTTTTTATTTTTCCTTACAACCAGTTTTGGTCTTTCCTCCTGGAAAACTTGTTTCCTTGTTTTGTAGCATAAAATTTCCAGAAGCCAAGTGGGGGGTTACTGTTTTTGAATTATTTCATAATTGCCGTTATGCTGTTGTTGATTTGATGTTGGTTTGGAATTAAGCTTTTGTTGGTAAATCCAGTAACTCCCCCTCCCCATCCCTCTTGCCTATTTCTTTATTTCAATCCTGAATTAGAACACACAAAACAAAAAAACCAAATAATATGCAAGAAATTTATGACTTTATATCTGAAATCACTGATGACACTAACTTGTAAGTATAACAGATAATTGGATAATTCTGCTGGGAGCATCCATCTCAAACAGTGGAATACTAATAGGAGCATGGCTCAGAGGCAGGAAGTGATAAAAGGTGGAGAAGGATCCATCAAGCTAGGCACCACTGGAACAATCAGTTCCTTAATGACAAGGGAATTGGATCACATATCTTCTGCACCAAAGAAGCAGGTACCTTCAAGAAGTAAACCTCAAACACTTCCTGTCTCAGTTCCCTGTGGCAGCACAACTCAAAAAAGACTACAACCAAGAAAATCATCAGTTGAAGCCAGTAGCAGTGGAAGCAGTAAAAACACAAACCGTAGAGGCCCTGGCAATGGCATGCCCCAGAAAACAAAAACCAATGGCAGAAATACGCAGAGAATACCCATGCTAGGTTCTGATAAATGTTCAGTGGACAGAACACCAGTGAGGGACAAAAATGATAAAAAGATACCCAACATTGTTGAAATTGTGGACATAAAATGTGGGAATGCAGATAAGGCTTGGGCTACACCCTTAGCAAGTCGTCTAAAGAAGCTTGGTTTTTCAAAGCTCTCAGAGAGCATTATCTAAACCTGAAATTTTTGTGTCAGACTTCAGGTTCCTGTAACTGAAAGCTGAGGTCCCATTTGGCCTACCACTGTCTGATACATCCACAATAGAACACATACTTGGTAAAAGCTTGCTACTTCCTCTCTTTTTCTTTGTAGTTTCTTCTACTGTAGGCACAATTGTGGTTCTAGAACATGTACTAGTGGAGGAACCCACCTCTGTGATTTGTGACTTGTTCCTTTGTGACCTGTCTTGGGAATTGGAATCGATCCTGCTGAAGGACTA